AGCCTTATCTCTACTCTCTAATGATTTGCTTGACTCTTATTCAAAGAACTTTAGTAAAAGAAAAATAGTCAAGCAATTTGTAGTATACAAGCAAACCCTAGGTAGGTTGAATCTACCACATGTTGTTGAGTTGTTAAGATTTCAGAAACCAAGGGTCTTTCTAGAGTGTGATAGTGCTTATAATGAAGAGTTGATCAAGATGTTCTATAATTGTCTTCATGGTAATTTTGAATGAAGTACTTTTACATACAAGATGAACAACAAAGTTTACACTGTTAACTCTAAAATTTGGATGGACTTTGAATTGTTTCCTCCAATTCCGGTTGCAATAAAAATTACTGATACCAATAACTTTGATGGATATGACTTTAAGCTTGCTCTAAACTCTATGCTGAAACAACCATACTCTAAAAATGTTGTAAATAGCACCTTATTTCCAAAGTCGGTCACAACTGGTGCGTTAAAGCCACTTGACCGTATTCTGCAATGGATTGTTTCTCGCATCATTCTCCCTAAGAGGGGTGGATATTCAAGAGTTGATCAACCGGAGGTACATTTGATCTATTCTATCAAGAAAAAAATGAGGATAAATTAGCCTCACTACATTGCAAGCAGAATGTATAGTCTAAAGGATTTGGGTAGAGGAACAACATTGGGATACGCTTCCATTATTCAACATGTCCTCAACAAGGTTGATATTGGTGTTCCGGGTATTCCCTTTATTAGAATATCAACCGATCAAGAGTTCACTCAGAATACTTTGACTATGATGGGTCACCATTGGGATACGAGTTAGCAAAGATATAGGTATGTGATAAGAAGTAATAACGTGAGCTTGCAGCAAGAAGATGATAATGAGGAGGAACAAGATGAAGATAATGAGGAAAGTGAAAATGTTGCTACCATGAATGAAGATGAAGTGACAGGTAGAAACAATGCTAACATTCTGAACCTACTTGAGTTTATGCACCTTCAACAGGAGGAGAACTCCCCACTTGTGAATGAGAGACTTGCCACTCTATCAAACCGTGTCAGAGTACATGGTGAATAATTTGTCGCATATTCTACCATTCAGGATCAAAGTTATAATACTTTATATGGGATGGTGGAGTCTTAACATGTTGTTTTGACTCTTTTTGATGTTGTGAAATGGGGAGAAGCATGTGGAAGTCAAGAAAAAATTATATGAAACGAAAGGGTGCACATAGATAGGTGGATAAATCTCCAAGATGAACATTCCAGATACATGGTGCTAAGGACATGTTTTGCCATCATCAAAAAGGGGGAGTATGTGAGGGAAAGATTTTAATAATTTCAAAACTATATTGGAAATGTTGCTAGATGATATGGTGGACAGAGTAGCATGAAAAGTCTTTAAGAATTGGCATTTTTGAAAAATTACACTATATGAGTCGACTCAAAGAAAGCTCAGGTCGACGCATGATTAAAAGTTGCTCCTTTGGGAAGTCTGGGGTTTTCTCATGTCGACTATGTGGTCGACTTATCTTGGAAGAAATATTTAGGAATTGTGCATCGACGCATACCCCTGGAGAGATCGACACATGGTTCTTGCACTATGTCATATGGCATCTTCAGGAATGCTCAGGTCGAGTCATCCTTTTGCATAGGTCGACCGCTCGCTCGTAAAAATTGTTTTTCAGTCTGTTAGTTTGGGTCTTGACCTTAGATAACATACATATACTTGTTTGGTTATTTCATTTGGTTTTTAACAAGAAAAGTGAAATGGATACACAAGGTACTCATCATCTTCAACCTCTCACTCATCCATTGACAACTACACATAATATTTTTTATCGATCAAGGTGTGAAGTGTGTGTTGACAACGTCCGAAGTAGAAGATTGAAATCTTGTTCGGGTTGAGTAATTTTTTTTTCTTGAATAAAATCTGAGGGTTTTGTCCTCCAAGATCATTGGGATTTTGGGGTTTTTGACAATTCTTTGCTTCATCAAATTCAGCTGTGCTTAAGGGATTGAGGAAATGTGGGTTCGCTCAACAAGATAGCTACAACTGGAGGATTTTGAAGGAATAATTGGAGTCATCATCTTGCGATCAAATCAGCTGAGCAGAGAGTTTGAGAAATGGTTTGGGTTCTCAACAAGGTAGCTACAACCAGAGTTTTATCGAAAATTGGTGACATACTTGATTCAAATCGAATCAAGGGAAGATATGAGCTTAGTTTTAAATTCAACATATTGGTTTTGAATTGTGGTGACTATTTTCTATCTCTTGTATAAACTTTTCAATCATAATAGCAACCATCCAAATTCTAAATTCTAGAATTAGGGGCAGACGTACCCCCACGCGAGGACGACAGGGGGAAATGCCGTAACAAATCGCATGTCGTTTTTCTTTCTCGCTCTTTACCGTTTATTTGCAATAATCTGAAAATTTGCTCTTGTGGTTCCAATTGTCCTGATTTGTAGTGCAACAAAACTATTACTAAAAATCATAGTAATCACTTTAATTGCTATAATTGATTTCGACACTAAAAATTAAGGTAGATTGAACTTGGTGAAATTAAGCACACCAAGTGTTCGATAAAAGTCCAAAAGTGCAAATTTGTGCATTTTCTTCTCAACATTTGATTGGAACTAATTGAAAATAGTTAAAGAGTATAAGTGATCAAATATAATTTAATTAAGTGTTAATAATTCTCATTGATTCATTCCATTCGGTTTTTCACATATCCGGTCTTTTCAATAGAGGATCGTTTTAGACGAATGTATCCAGGTAGCTTTCACTGCGCTTCAAATTTTTCTTAAAAACTGATTTTAAAAATTAAGGTATCTATTCCACCCCCCCTTCTAGATACGTCCTATCGTCTAACACATGTTATCAATGTAAACCTCTATGTCATGATGGATCACGTCATGGAACAAAGCTACCAGAGCATGCTGATATGTTGCGCTGACGTTCTTCAGACCAAAAGGCATGACTTTGTAGCAGAAAGTGCCCCACTGTGTGAAAAATGTAGTCTTCTCCAAGTCTTCAGGTGCCATCTTGATTTGATTATAACCAAAGAAATCATCCATGAAGGAAAATACTTTATGTTGAACGGTGTTGTCAACCAGAAATCAATATGTGGAAGCAAAAAATCATCTTTGGGGCTTGCCCTATTCAGATCCCTGTAGTCTATACACATACGCACTTTGCCATCTTTATTTGGTACTGGAACCACATTTTCAACCCATTAAGGATAGGATGTAACAGCTAAAAAACCTGCATCGAACTGCTTCATAACTTCAGCTTTGATCTTTTTCAATATCTCAGGACGCATACGGCGAACCTTCTACTTTATTGGAGGACAACCTTCTTTAATTGGTAGACGATGAACCACAATATCAGTATCAAGCCCTGGTATTGTACCCCAAAATTTTCCCTCCCATTTTTCTTCAAAACATTCTCATGAGGTCCTCATTTGCTCAAGGTTGCTTAAGAATTGATCAGACAATTTCTCCTCCTAAGCAATGGGTTCACAACTAGGGTTTGGTATTTATCAAGGAAGATTGAGTTTCCAAGGTCTCAAGTGGTTTTCATGGGTCCTCATATGTATTAAAGAATGCTCATGTCAAGTTTCAAGTCTTGCATCACAAGTTTGGCCAGTCAATTGCTCAGATGACTGAAAATTAATTGTATTGGGTAAAAAGTCAATTATGGTCAATAAACAGTCAAACTTCAAGATTTTGGTCAACATCAATATTTTGAAGTCACATTCATCATTTGATCAATAGTTGATCATGATTCATCACGAGAAATCCTCAAACCATCAAAAGTCAAAAGTTGCCAAATTAGGGTTTCCTTAAGAGAAGTCAACTGAACTTTGACCAAGCATAACTTTCATATGCTTCATCGCATTTTCCCCAACAAAAGATCATTTTAAAGGGAATTCAATTCTCTATGACGTTTTCTCTCTAAGCTCAAGTAAAAAAAATGCATCTTTTGAGATATTTAAGCCAATACATTACAGGTCATTTCAAAAGTCAATGGAAAGACACTTTTTGTCAAGGCTACTTACATAAAGATAAAGTCTTCAAAAGCAAAAATTATCAATATAGAGGTTGTAGATGACATCTTGAGCTTCCCAAAAAGTCCAAGATCACCTTCAAAAGATAAAAATTAAGTGAGTTGTGAACATTGCAAGTTGAGAAATTTTGATAGAATGCATGAAATCCAAATTGAGCAAATTTGTAATTTTGAGTTGTTGGGCCTAAGTCTTCATATCCAAACGTGATCATAACATGTTGTTGCAACTGATTTTAAAATAGAGCCTCCAACCTTAATTTTTATCCTAAAGTAAGGGAGTATAAAGGAATAACCCTAAAAGAAATTCAGAGATTCTAAGATTGGATTCGTTCTAGACGAGGGAAAGGTGTTAGGCACCCCTTATCTACCTTGTTCACAAGGATACTAGGTTTAGAAGCGCGATGTCTAGGAAATAGGGTTTTTTATTGTTTTATTAGGGAAAAGGGTTTGAATTTTAGTTAGCGGGACTCGCCACGATTTTTGATCGTATGCCTACGTATCTTCTTAGGAGGAATCAAAGTCTCATTTCGTAGTTCGCGGTTTGTTTTTATTTTTTATGGATTGCAAAACATATTTTAACTTCCATCATACGTAGTCCAAGAGTGTGAATATCAGAGTTTGTTAGACCAAGTACGCAATTAATTTAAATATATTCGCACTCCTTTTCGAAAATTAATTGTTCGAATTAATTTATTACGAAAAATAATTTGGATGTTTGTCTGAGTATTTTTTGTATATAGAGAGCAAAGGAGTCTGATATAGTCTCCTCATCACGTGACCATATATTAGCCACATATCGCTTGTGGATGTAGTAATTCGGTGAACGGAGTTAGATTTTAATTGTATGATTTTTGAATAATTGACTGATAGAGGATGAGTCGATCAATCGCTTATTTGTAGATATGGTGGATGAAAAATCTACAATCCTATTATAAAAATGTTGAATTTATTTTGATTATGAAAAAAAAGTTTGGATTATGTACATGTTTGATGATTTTTTAGAAGTTTTGGATTTTAATTCTAATCGGTTGACGATGTGTGGACTCGTAGACTCATTTTCAATTGCTTCACGCCATCCCCTGAAAGGCGTATGTTCCTCTTCCGCTTTCAAAGTGTTGCACAAAACAAACTCCTTCTTTCTTCCGCATGTTATCTCCACAATATTCAATCGATCCAAAAAAAATCTCATAGCAAGAGAAGAAAACTTACGCGTTGGAGATATAAAGGGCTGGCCAGAGATCTCAGCACGCGGAGGGCTGACGGAGGGATCTCGCAGTGGTGCGGCGGACGGAGGAGGCGTTGCTCGTTGATCCATTGATAATGGTGGTGCGGTTGGCTGACTGACGTCTATGGAGTATCAGCGAGTTGTGTGACGGCAGAGCTCTTCGTGGGAGAAGGAAAGCGACGGGACTCGCGGCTGGGCAGTGGATGTTGAGTGGATCGCGGAGGTCGCAGTTGGTTATTCAATGGGTAACCTACAGAGGAAGAGGCGGCTCCCGGAGGCCGTTGAGGTACTGGATCGCGGTGTTCGTCGGTGCCGGGTGTGGTGTTTCGAAAGGGGCTTCACGTTGAGGACCGCGGGGCGAGGAAAGTGTTAGTCGATTTCACGGCCGGAGGAAGAGCGACAATTTCCAGCCTGGGTTGTAGTCGCACATGGGATTTCGATCTGCAGACGAAAGAGTCGTACACCGTGGTTGATGTCGGAAGGGGCTTGGTATTTCAGATTCTTTCTTTCTTCTTTTCCTATGCAAAAAACAACACATAGAGCAACACAACAATTTTTTATGATTTTTTTCTATTTTCTTTTGACATTAGTCATTGTATATACACAGATTAATGGACTTTAGTTCTTATTTCAATTTGCAGGTTCTGTTGATTAAGATGCAGAATAATTCATTGTATAATCGTTTGGTGTTATGGTTTGGCTAGTGTGATGAAGTTTAGTGAATCTAAAATTTGAATTGAAGTTATAGTGTTTGTAACGTGAATTTGTCAGTGTGAATTATGAGTGTATGTATGTAAAAGAGAAAGAAAATTGAGTGTGTCCCTTTTCCTCCCATTTTATTTTAATTTTATAGCTCTTAGGTGTTGTAAATTAGGAAATAGATAAATTTGTCTGTAATTAGTTTTGGAAACAATGAAATGTGTATGTAAATTAGTGCAATGCTTTGATTGTAATTATGATCTTAGTCTTGACCTGTAATAAATCTGGAATGTGTTTCTGTTTATGTCTTATTCAGTATTGATGAAGAAACAAATGTACGAATGTATATCTGATTTCTGTCCGTAGCAATGCCTGATCATGATTAATCCCAACAGTACCTGTTTCATATCCTTGGGCCACACTTGGGTCTGCTTATTGTGCTGCATAACAAAACATTTTCTTCCTAATGGACTGAAAAATAATTTGAGATATATGATTAAATAAAATAAATGGTTCGAAAACTGTAAAAAAAACTTGAAATGGACCTTAACACATTTGAACTATTTTTTTTATACTCTAGGTCAGATTGGGCCTGTGCGTGTTTCTGTTTTTGGGTTGGATTTGCACTTCCCTTTCTTTTATATAAATAGTTTTAATCAGCAAATAAAACAAACAAACAAAAAAAATGTTTCTAATGCAATGTTTTAATTAAAACAATATTAGTAAAAAAATTATTATTATAATAAAATAATAATAATAATAATAATAATATTAATATTAATAATAATAATATTAATAATAATATTAACAAAATAGTTTTCAAAACGAACTCAAAAACTGCAATGGGCCACTGTATTAATCTATTTGGGCCTGAGCTACGCTTTTGAGATTTTTTTTATAATGTTTCAAAAATTAAAACAAAATATTAATATTTTTTTAATTCAGTTATATAATAAAAAACAATAATAAAAATGATGTTATAATTAACAAAATGTTTTTTCACAAAAACAAAAAAGCCAGATCACACATTCTTTTGGGCTCCTAAAAAAACTAACTTGTTTTATGGATCCCTTCTTTTAACACTTGCAATGAATTGAAAATTATATGGACCTCCTTGTTTAATATTAGGTTTTGAACAAAACAAATTTGTTCACACCTCCTCGACTCAAACAATACACCTCCCTCTTTTAATTTGAAATTGACTTTTATTAAAGCCTAATGGGCCATCAGATATTGATGGTCTATTTTAAATCGACACACCCCCTTTTTCATGATATAACCTCCCCATAAATTAAATAAAACGATTTATTTAAAGAAAACCCTAGATATAATTAGGGGTAGGTGTAGCGGTGAAAATCGGAGATCAAGCTATTAATTAACTTGACTCACAAAAGCAAGAGTCGCCACCGCGCTTTATTATTTCCAAGGGAAAAGGGAAAAGAGCGAAATAAAACCCTAAAAACATGCAATGTAAGATAAAAGTAATACAATGCATTTTTTGAAAGAGATCGAGAGTTCGGGGGTTGGTTATGCAATGGGAAGGTATTAGCACCCAATGCATCTGCGGTACTCCGCAGGAACCTTTTGAAATATATGTTTTTGGTTTAAAATTGTTTGTTATATACAAGGGTGTATGTATCTACAAATATGTTTGTTTAAGGGGAAAAAATGAGTTTTTATTATTGTGTTCGTGAGGGTTTCGCGACCCTTTGCCTACGTATCCAATGAAGGAATCAAAACAACGTAGTTCCTCTAGAAAAAAGTTGATTTGTTTGTGTTTTTTAGTGGGCGACATTAACACACGCGTTCTAGCAATAGGCACGGCCGATATCGCGGTAGAACGGGGATAACATTCCCTTGGGGGGAGTTTTGATTTGTTGAATGTTTTTGCATGTTTTAAAGTATGTTCAAGTAATGATTAAAGAGTGTTTTTGATCTTTTTGGTTTGTTTTCTTTTTGATTTTTATCTTGCTATACACCTAATTACTAGCATTTGTACAAAGTAAAAAAAATGTAGAAAGACAAAAAAAAAACTACACTACTACAAACATATCAAAAGGCATAAAAAATAAAGATGAAAGTAAAGAAAATGAGTATCTTTCGATTCTGGAAGGAGCAGCCCTCGATTTGCATTCTGTTGGCCTCCTTCGGTTGGGGCTGGCAACAGTGAGGTCGTGTCTTTCGATTGGACCTTGGCAGAGGCGAAGTCTTGTCCTTCGATTGGGAGTTCGCGCCAGTGAGGTTTTGTCCTTCGTTTGGCCTGGAAGTCGGTGAGTTGTATCCTTCGACTGGGAGTTCGCGCCAGTGAGGTTCTATCCTTCGATTGTCCTGGAAGTCAGTGAGAGGATGTCTTTCGATTGGACATGGCTTGCCTCCTGGTTGTCTCTTTCGTTTGACCTGGAGAAAGATGGCAGAAGCTTCGTTTCCTGTTTCCTGTATCCTGTTTCTTTCATTTCAAACATTAAATGACAACATGGCCTGAGGCCATGCTAGTATGAACAGTTTAATAATCAAAGCTAGTAAACAGAAAGCAGAAACGAAAGAGGTAGTTCTGAAAGGTATGCTAAAAATGTGGAAACGAAAGGAACAGTATGTACATGCTTGAAACGAACAAAGGTATTATTTACATGTTGGAACAGTATGTACATGCTTGAAACGAACAAAGGTATTATTTACATGTTATACTGGAAATGAAAAAATCAAGGGTAAGAGTGACTTACCTGGCTTCAGGATGGAACGTGTGTTGGGCCTTGTGTTGGGCCTTGAGTGGTGGTTGCCTGGAGCACTTCTGGATTCGAAGGGAGGGGTTACAGGCTGCGCTGAGAGTGCTGGATTCGAAGGAAAGAAAAAGCAAGTGTGCTTCTTTGATTCGAAGGAGACTGAAGTGTGGTTGTTCTTCATAATCGAAGGAGACTGAAGTGTGGTTGTTCTTCAGAATCGAAGGAGACTGAAGTGTGTGGGTTCTGGGTTTATTCTCACAAGTATTGAAGGGACTTGAGAGATTTTTGTGTTTGAGAAAGTTTGGTGTTTGGGAATTTTTCTGAAGTGTTTATGAATTTTGAGAATTTTACTGTTTGAGAAAATTTGGGAGAGGTTCGTCTGGCCCAAAAGTCCTCCTTTTTCATGTTGTGAAGCCTTGTATTTATAGGCGGATTTGCTGAAGTTTTGGGGGGAAAACAAAATGATTTGAACAGTTTGGGAAGGTTGTTTCGATCCTTTCTTCTACGCAATTCTTGTGCACTCCTTTTTGGGCAAGTACAGGACTGTTGTAGCAGGCTCAGCAGTGTTTTGGAGCGTAGTGGTAGGTTGGTGCAGGACTGTGCATAGCAACGCAGTAGTGTTTGTTGCATGGCAGTACAGTGGTCCAACTTGTGAATCGAAGAAGACTGTATTTCCAAATCGAAGCTTGTGACTGAAGGGAGACTGTCTTGCCCATCGAAGCTTGTGGATCGAAAGGAGACTGTATTTCCCCTCGAAGCTTGTGGATCGAAGCAGACACATTGCCCAAACGAAATCTTATTTTCGAAGGAAGCAATGTTGTCCAATCGAAACATGTTTGCAGGCAGTGAACTTGTCCAGATTCGAAAGAGGCATGCAGGCAGCACTTGTCCAATCGGAAGAGGCATGCAGGCAGCACTTGTTCAATCGAAGCAGGCTGAATCGAAGTAGGCTTGCAGGCAGCACTTGTCCAATTGAAGCAGGCTGAATCGAAATAGACCTGTCAACACATGAAATCAAACAAAAAAACACACATTTGTGCTTGATTAGAAGTTAGTGATACATAGGCCAAGAATGTTCAAAACACTTGACAATTTCTGCATAATCAATGCTCGATGGTGAGAGGTTAAAACCAATTGTATTTAGTGACTTTGCCTTCTGTATAAAAATGCAAAAATGAAAATGGGATCTTAGGTCAAAAATTGGGGTACAACAGCTGCCCCTATTTAAGTTTCTTCTATCTGGAGATATGAAGATTCGAATCTTCATTTCGACGAGATTGAAGGGACTTAAATATAGAACACAATTTTTGGCCTTAAGATACCACACTTATGTTTATGATATGATATGAATGCAATGCTCTGAATTTTATGGGGAATGACGCCATATGAGACAGACTAATGTTGGAGAAACCAAGCACATTATACAGTAATCCCACAGGGAAAGAGATTATAACTTCACTGGGGAAACAAGAGTCATAGGCTTCAAATGAGAGACTCTTGAATGATTTACATCAGTGTTGAAACTGGAAAAGAAATTATTTACATCAGTACGGAGACTGGAAAAAGAAATGATTTACATCAGCACTGAGGCTGGAAGATGATTGACATCAGTACTGTGACTGGAAAAGGAAATGATTTACATCAGCACTGAGACTGGAAAATGATTGTCATCAGTACTGAGACTGGGAATAAACATCTCTGACTTCTGAATTTCACCAAGAACGGTAACACGATTCTTTCCTTAACCAAGATATCGCTTGAAAAGGATAAAATGCAAACTTCCCCACGGGACTTTTCCGAAGGGATGCCATTTGCTGAGTAGACATTATTGTTGGGGATACACAAGCTGCTCAAATAAAGAGGCCGCCACTTGCTGTCTTCCAAAAATACTATGACATACAAGCTGCTCAAATAAAGAAGCTGCCACTTGTTGCCAATAACCCACAAGCTGCTCATAAAGAAGCTGCCACTTGTTGTCTTCAAAGAATATTAAAGCACACAAGTTGCTCATGAAGAGTCCGCCACTTGTTGCTTATAACTCACAAGCTGCTTATAAAGAAGCTGCCACTTGTTGTCTTCAAAGAATATTAAAGCACACAAGCTTCTCATGAAGAGTCCGCCACTTGTTGTCTTCAAAGAATATTAAAGCACACAAGTTGCTCATGAAGAGTCCGCCATTTGTTGCTTAACCCACAAGCTGCTCATAAAGAAGCTGCCACTTGCTGTCTTCAAAGAATATTAAAGCACACAAGCTGCTCATGAAGAGTCCGCCGCTTGTTGCTTAT